CTCCAGCAGCACCACCCAGAGCAGGGTGCCCAGGCCCACGGCCAGGCGGTTCTGGAGAGCTGCAGGGAGGAGACCCCACAGCCTCTGGGCAGCCTGTGCCAGTGCTGCCAGTGCTCCGGCACCCGCACAGCGCAGCACTGCTCCTGGTGTTCAGGGGGAGCCGGCACCCGCACAGCGCAGCACTGCTCCTGGTGTTCAGGGGGAGCCTCCGGGGATACAGTTTGTGCCCAGGGCCTCCTCTCCTGGCACTGGGCATCACAGGGAAGAGTTCCATCCTCTCTGCACCCTCCCTTCATGTATTGATTAATCATTAATATTAATCCAATGTTGTAATTAATGAAAGATCATTAATAGCATCCTCCTGAGGCTCCCCTACTGCAGGCTGAGCAGTCACAGCTCTCTCAGCCTTTTCTCATGGGGGAGATGCTCCAGTCCTTTCATCATCCTCATGGCTGTTTGCTGGAGCCTCCAGTAACTCCACATCTCTCCTGTACTGCGGAGCCCAGAACTGGATACAAGCCTACGTGTGAGATATGTACGTCTGCACACACAAACAGGAGCATCCTCTGCTCTGGGAGCAGGGCAGGAGGTTGGGCTGCAGCACGCTCTGTGGTTACGCTTCCCCAGCACTTTCTGTTACGTGACGTCTTTCGGTTCTGTACAGCTTTGGCCCAGCAGGTATTGTTTGGGTTGGGGCTGTTGTGGAAACACAGCTAGGGGATGAACGCAGCTGGGAAATTCTACCAAAAAAACAGATTAGCAATTTCTCCCACTATAATTCAAGAGAAACATTCCATTTTCAGACATAAAAACAAGGCTGTGGTTTCGCAGGGAGGTGTGGGCCCCTGAGGAAGAGCACCTTGATGAGGCAGGGTGCTCACAGGGACGTGGCCGCCAGCTTTTGGCCATTTGGGATCCATTATATTGGATATAAGGAAAATGTTCTTAATGACAAGGGTGGTGAGGCACTGGAACAGGTTGCCCAGGGAGGCGGTGGATGCCCCATCCCTGGAGACATAGAGTCTGGCTGGATGTGGCTGTGAGCAAGCAGATCTAGCATTGGGTGTCCCTGTTCATTGCTGGGGGTTGGAATAGGTGACAATTGATGACCGTTGAAAGTCCCTTCCAACTAAAACGATTCTACTATATTATGAGGTGCCCCTCATCCACAGCAAGGCACCAAGGAGCCACCTTCAAGTTGCATTTAACAAGCCAGGAGAGGCCACTGGCAAGCCCACGTGCCGTGCCACATCCAGGCAGCCAGGCCCAGCAGAGTGCAGGCCGCTCCCCAGGCAATGGAGCCCAGCTCTCCAGCACTGCGCTGCTCTCGCCGGTGCCACAGCTGCACCCTACAAGTGTGTGTGCACGCATAGCGTGTGCGGCCCCACTGTGAGGAAAAACAGACAAAAATAGGACCTCTGATCTCCAAACCCGCCTTCTGATTGCTTTTTTTTTTTTCTTCTTTTTTTCTTAAACAAACGTTTTTACATTGTTTTTAACCACAGAAATCAGATACTCAGACAACTTTCATCTCATTCCTGCAGAATCAAAATGGAGCTTCTCAGCTGCGGGGCGGCGTGGGACCGGCACCGCTCACACTCAGCAGAGGAAGTTGCCTCATAATGCGAATTTCTCCCAGCTTGGGAGCCCAGGGCTGAGTGCTGTCAGGCCTTGGGACACCTCCTGCAGCCAACTGGTCTTGAGCAGTGCTGTGTGCAGCCTCTCAGCGATCCTCTACGCTGTGTGGGGCTTCGGTGTCATCTCCTGAAGCATGCATCATTACATGTTTATCCTGACAAAGATTTAGGATGAGATCAGGTTTCGAGAATACTCAATTATTTTCTTGAGATTTTCTTCACAAAGTAGTAAGAATCTCAATAGTTTCCATTGAATTGATGCCTCCCAAATGCCTTGCTCCCCCCACAGCTGCTGCCAAAACCAGCTGCTCTCTTGGTGGTCCTGCTCCCCACCAGGTGAACAGCCAGGCACCCAGTGGGGAAAATCCCTGCCTCATGTGTTGAAACCAAAAGCACCTGGATGGGAGATTTTATGTATAAACCCCGAGCTTCCTGACAATGTTTTGCACCTGAAGACAAAAGCAGCAGCCACAGCTTAAGTGGGGAGGAAGCCAGGAGAGATGATGATACAATGGAAAGAAAGTGCAAAGCTTCCTGCCACCCCTGGCAGGAGGGGATGCTGCCTGCTCAACATGAGGCTCTGGGACAGGCTCTGCCAGCAACACTGCTTTGGGTATGGGGATCACAAGTGCGGCAAGCCTGGTGCCCTCATGTATGAGGCCTTTGCAAGCTCTCCCCACTGACCCCATGGGCTCTGGTCCTGAGGAGCAAGGCCCCGCAGCCTGTGGGTCAAGAGGGAGATGGAGATAATGGTGGCTCTTGGTGGGACAATGCAGGGGCTCAGGTGCGAGTAGGCTGGATAATAGGAAAAGCTTCTTCTCAGAAAGAGTGGTGAGGCACAGCCTGCCCCAGGGATGTGGTGGAGTCACTGTCCCTGGAGGTGTTTGTGAACGGTGTGAATGCGGCACTGAGGGACATGGGCAGTGGGCACAGTGGGGATGGGCTGGTGGTTGGACTGGGTGATCTTAGAGGTCTCTTCCAACCTGAACTATTCTATGATTCTACGAAAGCCGCTGCACTGATGGAGCCAAACATGAGTGGAACAAGCAAACCAGACTTGAGGGGCTGAGTGATGGTGACATGTGTGACACTGGCTTGAGGGACCAGCTCCCAGAGGAGTCACTGGCAGGCCCTTCTGCTGGGCAACACAAAGCTCATGGGTAAAGGCTTCCAGGATCGAAGACGGGGTGCAGGGAGCTCCAGAATACCTGGGCCAGCTTGCAGCCCTCATGTCATGCCCTCATGTCAGGGCCTTGCAGGGGGATTGGAGGGTGGGTAACACCAACATGTAACCACGCTGAACAGGCTGCACTATGGTGGGCTCTGCACCTCTGGCTGCCTTGGAGCTGCCAGACCCCACCTGTCTTGCACCCCGTGGGTGCTTCAGAGGCAGGAGCTCCACCAGAGCTTCTGGTCCACCACGCCAGGTTTCTGGCCTGAAGGAGCTGTGGGTGCAGCATGGAAGGGTTTGGTGGGGCCATGCAGCGGGTGGGGCTGGGCTGCACGTCTGTAGGCTGCACCTGCTGCATGCAGGGCAGGTCTGTGTTTTGCACAGAAGAAGCCACTTCCTTTCTTCTGCACTGAAAAGAAATAAAATCAGGTGAAGCTCATTGCTTTCACCCTCCTTATTCCCAAGCATACATGCACTGGCCCTGGAAGAAACAGTGGGATCTTTGGGCTTCCTTGATTGTGATTGAGGCTGGTGGTGCCAGCAGGGCCCATCCCTCCTCTGGCTTTTCCTTCCCTTGGGAGATCTTTGGTCTCTGTCCAGCATCCTGGTGTTGTGGTGCCTTCTTGCACCCATCAAGCAGCCCTAGGGATGGATGGGGACAGCAGGTCTGGCCTGGGGATGATGCTTTCAGGTTTTCCACAGAAAACTCTCCTGATAAGCGCACCAGGAATGCAGCCAAGAACCTCTCCTGGGCCAGGCAGCACTCACCCTGGTGACCTCAGTGGGAGCATGGGGTACCTCACAGCCCACGATGCATGCTGGCTAAAAGTCGGTCCCATATTTGCTCTTGGGTGTGCACTCAGAAGTGCACTCCCCGGGCATTGCCATGATGGAGAAGGAAACTCAAGGACATCTGAGAACCATGCAGGTTTGGGTGGCTTAATTATTGCCAGCTGCGCAGGTAGAAAGCCCATCTTACTAAGGAATATTGTCTCCACAGCAGATCCTTTCTCTCAAGCGATACAGACCCCTAAGCTAGAGAAGTAGATCCATTCATAGATGGTTGCGAGCAGATTTTCACTATTAGTCTTTAAGTCATAGTGGTTCATGGCAATACCATTCACTGTGTAATTTCTATACGCATGACTCACCATCCACGAGTACAGAGATTAGTGCTGAGTTTAATGCTGTTCTGTTGTAAAGCATTACAAGTATTATGCAATTAAATAATTAGTTGAGCTTTACTACAACAAAGGGAAATTTAAGTTTAACTATGACCTTAACCTTGACTTTTCTTGGCCTCAGTTTTTCAGTAGCACCCTGAATGCCCCTTGGTGGGAATTTCCTAGCTAATTGGGAGTTTTTGGAAGGAAGAAAACAAAAAAAATAAGCCAGATCATCACCGCCACCAAGGAAAAACCCCAAATCACTGAGAAGGGAATAAAAATCCTCCTGGGATTTGAAAGCTCCATCAGACTTCAGTAAATGGTGCACATGGGGAAGCGCATCCCACCAGCAGCAGCCTAAGAATAAAAGGCAAATAATCTAACTTTCAGTCTGTGTCTCAAGAAGCAATGCCTGATGGTCTCTCCATCCCTCGAAAGAGGGAGATTTGCCCCCAGAAGTGCAATGAGGGACAGCCTGGGATGTTCCACACTATAGGCTGCACCAGGGTTTGTCCAGGCTTTGTTGGGGTCCCATCAGGCTTCTGTGGCCAAGGGGCTGAGCATGTGAAGTAGGGCTGGAGCTGCTTTCCTGGCTCACTTGCGTTTTGTGTCCTCACGGACGTTTTCAGAGTAAAACCCAAAGTCGGCAGAGATGTCAGGAGCGATTGCTGTGCAGGTACAGTCATTTATCTGCTTCTACTCAGAATAACCCCGCAGCAGCCAAATGTCTCTCGTACATCAAGAAAGGAAGAAAAAAAAAAAAAAAAAAAAAAAAAAAAAAAGCCCAGTGAGAACAGCTTTACTAAATCTAAGAAGGAAAAAAAAAAAAAAGCCCAAACCTCCCGGTGCTTTTATAGCGTGAGCCAATACCGAGAGGCGCTCACTCACACAGCAGGAGCCCTGCAGGGAGGGTCCACGCGGAGCCAGGGCAAGAGGAAGGGGAGGAGGGTGAAGGGGAGTGGGTGTATGCCTGTGTCTGTCAGTGTGTCTCTCCGTCTGTTCACACCTCAGGGAGTAGGAGGTAGTGTGGGGCTGAGTGTCCACAGAGCAACAGGACAGGGGACACGACCTCAGAACAGCAGCGGGAGGTAAGCAGTGTACGCAAAGGATGGATAGTGTGGGGATGGATGGGATGGATGGGGCTGGATAGGGCAGGATGGGACAGGGAAGGGTGGGATGGGAATGGACAGGCGTGGATGGAATGGAGATGGGCAGGATGGGATGGAGATCAAGTGGATGAGAACAGACTAGGATGGATGGAATGCAGATGGGTTGGAAGGGAACAGGCAGGGAGGGATGGGATGTGAATGGATAGGGCTGTTTTGGAATGGAGCAGTGTGATGGAGGACTCAGGAGGCACTGACCCACAGTCCAAAGCACATCAAGGAGAAGGAGGGTGTGTCGTTTGGTAGCAGGGAATGCCCCTCTCACATCTGTGCATGGCATGGGGCGTTGTATGCATGAGGATGGCTGGAATCTCTCTTTTCTTTGAATTTTTTGTTTCTGCTTCTGCTCCCTTGCAATTATGCCTGCACCCCTGAGCTCCCCCCAGCCCCATCTGGCTGTTTTCTCAGTGAATCTCCCCATTGCCCCTGTGGTGATGAATCAAAGATCTCACTGCCACAGGATGACTTTGGGACCTTGTTTGTACAAGATGCAACTGCTCTCCCCACGCACTGCCATCCTTTCTGGTATTGCTTGGATGTTTTAATAAAAAAAAAAAAAGAAAGAAAAAGAGATGCTGACAAGAAGCAGAAAGAAGACAATGAGTCACAGCCTTTGTTGCACCGCTCACACCGAAATCACGAGAGATGCATTTTTCCAAATGACTTGGGCTGTGTGCTGCTGGGGGTGGTGAGGAGCAGGACGGACAGGCGGGGGGTGGCAGGGAGCATGAAGGGACAGCCCTGAGGGTGCTGCTCCCGCTGCTGGGCTTTTACAGCTGTTCCTATCCTCAGAGAGAAGGCTCACGAGACGCTCCAAAATGGCTGCAGTGGTGGCCATGTCTGCACCTGCCAACATCACCTCCAACCAGAGCAGCTGCAATGTGCATAACCATCACTTCTCTGCCAAGGTCACCTTCTCCCTCTTCTACACTGCCCTGCTGGTGTTCGGCGCCTGCGGAAACATCCTGGCCCTCTGCATCACCTTCCAGCGCAGGAAGAAGAAACTCAACTCCACCGACCTCTACCTGGTGAACCTGGCTCTGTCCGACGCCCTCTTCACACTGGCGCTGCCTGGCAGGATCGCCTACTACGTCCTGGAGTTTAACTGGCCCTTTGGGGACTGGTTCTGCCGGGTCACCGCCTTTGTCTTCTACATGAACACCTACGTGAGCATCTACTTCATGACCTGCGTCAGCGTGGACCGCTACATCGCTGTGGTGCACACCAGGCACCCTGGCAGGACCCGCAGGGTCAGCCGTGCCAGGGCTGTCTGCGCCCTCGTCTGGTTCCTGGTGTTCCTGCAGACGGCACCGCTCCTGCTGCGGCCCATGACGCGCCGGATGGGTGACAAGCTGACGTGTATGGAGTACTTCAACTTCGAGGAGATTCCCAAGCTGCCCTACCTGCTCCTGGTGGCCTGTGTGCTCGGCTTCTTCCTGCCCGTGGGCATCATCTTGGTGTGCTATGTGCGGATCAACCTCAAGCTCTGCCAGACCGCCAAGGAGAACCCACTGACAGTGAGGAATGGGCACCACCGCCGGGCCTTCACAGTCATCTTGGTGGTGCTGCTGGCCCTCCTGCTTTGCTTCAGCCCCTACCACATCAACATCGTCCAGTTCATGGTCAGGAAGATCCTCCACCAGCCATCTTGCCATGAGCAGCAGGCCTTCAAGATGTCTCTGCAAATCACCGTGGCATTCATGAACTTCAACTGCTGCATTGACCCCATCATCTACTTCTTTGCCTTCCGAGGCTATAAGCGGAGGCTTCTCCGCATCTTCAGGAACAGCGGCTCCATGGCCACCTCCTCCACTGCCAAGACCCCCTCTGAGAGCAACAGCAACAGCCAGCCGCCCGGCTCCAGCTCTGTCTAACGTGACCCTCCTGTTCTCTCCATCTGGCAGCGTGTGGACCATTCCCTGCAGCAGCCGTGGGGCCGGGCCGCAGAGCAGGACCAGACCCCACCGCTCTGCCTGGAACCAGGGGCTTTTGCGCAGCTAACACAGCACCAACCCAGCTGCTGCCTGCAGCTCTTTCCCTGCAAGGATGAAGAGCAGCTTGCTGCTGTCCCTTCACCACGCACTGCACGGGATGGGTGGCAAGTGGGCACCATGTGAGCAGATCCTGGTCCCCTCTGTGGCACTGGGAGGAAGTGCATGGTTCCCTGCAACATTAATCCACCTCACTCTTCCCACAAAAGGGACTGATGGTGGTCTTGCTCTGCTTTGGCTGACCTTCCCTTGAAGATGAGGACTGGAACATGAGCCAAACCAGGCTGTTCCTGGGGCCTCGCTAAGGGTAGGTCACACATGACCCTCACCAGAGCCAGGAGGCATCTGGTTCCCATCAAAGCCTGTGCAGTAAGGAAAAGGTTGGTGTGACCTAGGAGCTCCACAGCTCCCCTCTGAATTTGATGGACTACAGGGCTGGACACAAGCAAACCAGATTTCATGGTTTTGTACTGGAGGCTGGAAGGGACACAGATATGCACAGAGATATGAAGAGGAGGAAAACCAGCTTTCTTTTGCCTAACTTTAAAGCAGTTCCATTAATGATACTTCTGATTACCAGAATTCGTTCTTGAAGGCAGTAACATTTCTTGCTTGGAGGTTAATCATACAGGTGTGTGCAGCTCTTTCAGTGTGCATGAGTTATCTTTTGGATGAAAATAGCTTCACCTGCACACAGGTGACTGCAGGGATGTACCTGAGGTTGGAAGGGCCTCCAGCAGAGCCCTGCAGGGTACCCGAGCCCTGCTCCCGGCAGTCTAAACTCAGTGCTGGCCTGAAGGGAGCCTGTGTCCAAAAAACACATTACAATGGGCGTGGAAGAGCTGGTGGGCAGTAACCGAGGGGTATTTGTGGTCTGAGCACTGCAAAGGAGCCCAGTGTGGATGTCCAGCACACAACCTGCTGGGAGCTGGGCCACCATGCACAGGAGGTTGGTGGCTTTGTTTGTCCAGCAGAGGATCAGGGGTTGCAAGGAGGGGCTCCCTCGCAGAGGTGTTACTCCGCTCTGTCTCCTCCCATGGAGGCCCTCCTGGTGCTCTGCTCCACAGCTGATGCAGAAGTGTGAAAATGGGGCATTTCACCACAATAAGACAATCACAGTATCCTCCCCCACGGGCACAGAGCACCTTCTCCACATTTCATTCATTGCATAATGCTTGCCTCAGCCAGCACGTTTTCGCAGCACTGAGACATGCATGTTTCCTGCTGCTCACCTCACTCATGTGTGAACTCGCTGAGAACATTTCATCCCTCCTCTTATCAGCTCCTATCAGTAACTGCATTGCCACAGCTTTTGCTCCCTTCCTGACATCCTTCTCAGTGCAAACGTGCCTGCACCCAGCGCCATGCTGCTGCCATCAGATGAGGGATGCCTGCAGTTGCAGGCACCCGCCAAGATAACATCAGGGGAGCGAACGCAGCGGGAGGGAGCTGCTGGCCTGCTGGGAGCACGTGGCAACACTTGGCAGCACATCTTCTGCTGACAGGGGGAGCTGGGACCTGCCTGGGGTTTCCAACAGTTCTATTTTCATACTAACTTTTCTTCTTTAAACCATACCTGGAACTCCCCGTTTCACACCAGGATACCCATCCTCGTATAGCACCATGATGTTGCCATGTGAAAGTGCGTGCATCAACTGAACCCAACAGCCTCTCACCGAGCAGCTCCTGCCTGCAGGTCTCCATCAGCTGCCATCAACACTCCATCACTTGCTGGGGCGACACTGGGCTCCACTTTACATCTGAGATTGGCTGGGACTGACCGTGCTGTGCTCCTCCCTGGGTAAAAGCAGCACTTCATGCAAAAGCAACCAAGTGAAATGGGTGGATGACCTTAGCAGACGTTCCTACAAGAAAAACCATGGGTGGATTTTCTGTACAGGCTCAGCCACACTGCTGATCTGCTCATGTTATTCCATCTCTCACTTGTTCCTCTGAGCCCCATCTCACTCATGTCTTCTTCATTAAACTTAAATGCCAGGTTCGTTGCCTACTTTTCTCTGGCTGAAAGGCCAGAGAAGATGCTGCCTTCAGTTCAGCCAAGCAGTCCCTGTCCCCTCCACCACTCCCCATCTCATGATTGGGCTGATGGCACCCAGTGGTGCACACCCTCTTGAATTTCAATGTAGAACTGTGTGCTCTTTCTGCAGCCATGGCCCCTCTTCCCAGCAAAGGAGGAACAATACCATGAAGTGTTAAACCAAGTCCTGTATGCTTTACAGAAACTCATACACAGATATAATTAAATAGTGTGTGTGCATATATAAACACATGTAGTGCTTGTGTGCTCACGTGACTCTACTAATAAAATAGTGTTTATGCTCCTTTATAAAAAACTCATTTCTATGACTATCCACTTAAAGAAAGTCAGTCTCACTTAGGAGAACACACACAAGAAATTAAACCCATTCTATGATACTACCTTGCACTATACTTGCTTGCTTGGTTCTCGTTTCAGACAGAAGCCATGAGACTTCCATCCCGTGCTCCGGGACCAGAGGGAGGTAGCAGGCCTGGCACCCAAATGCTCACCTCAGCAGCACATGGTCTTTGCTCTGGGAGAGGGAAAAGTTTGGGTGAGGTACAGAGCCCAACCACTCTGTGTCTCAGCAAAGAGCTTGGGCTTGAGAACTGCTCACCAGGCAGTTTTCCACAAATGCAAACAACTGCAGGTATATTTCCAAGTCCCACAGTCATCTAGGAAAGTCCGCAGCGAAGTACCGTGATGTTGTTTCACGGTGACATTCCCATGCTGTTAGAGAAGTCTGAAAAGCAGCTACCATTACCTAGGGACTTAAAATCCTCTCCATAGAAAAGCAATCCGCTTTATCTCACAGCCTAAACATATCTTTGTGTCACACCTCAAAAAGGAACTGCATGATGACATTTAAAGCTGCACTGGGCACTGTGAGGGCTGGAAGGACCACTCTCCTCATGCACAGATGTGTCACAATCAAGAGGAGACTGAGGTCTTCCCCAGCTCTGGTGCAGCGGAGCTTTCTTGTACAAAACAGGAACTCTGCTCAACTGCATCAGGGACCCCTCCTTTCACCACTTCTTTTTTTTTTCTTCTTTTTTCCCCGGTTGGAAATCACAGCCCTGGGAGCATTCTGAGCAATAGATTCTTCTGCAGAAGTCAGGTTTCTAGCTGACATCACCAAGACCTGAGCTTCACCCCTCATGTTTGATATGTTGTGAAATGGGGCTTTCCAAAGCGCGGCCTTCGGATACCCTCTGTATAGATAACAGCAGTCAAGGATTGAGACTTGGACAATATCCACCAGTGTGCCCAGGATGCTTCCTTTATGCTTTAAAATTCCATGTAAGAAATGCTTGTTGTGCCTGTCCCCAGAACAGGGCACGTGTCCATGTGTTCTGTTCAGTCCATCCAGGGAAGGTGGACCTTTATTTCCTTCAGACAACATTTTACGTCTGAAAGAATGTCTTAGTCTTTATTGCTGATTATGATAAAACATTTGTGGAGGAAGAGTCTGATTATTTCAAACTTAAAAACTTTTGCTTACACAAATTACTGTATTTTTTTAAGAAGATATTCCAACAGTTGCCCTTCCTAAGGCAGCCAGTTTCCAGCCATTTGGGTATAGAAGCACCCCCAGCCTGCACACACACACACACATGCACAGGACACTGGCTTTATTACAGAAGCCTGTTATGTGCCTAAAGATGAAGAAGTTGGATGTTATGCCTGCATAAGGACTCGCATGCTGGAAGGACCATTTTTAGTCTTATCAGTGAACTAAAAAAACCCCTCAAACAAACAACATCAACAAAAAACCAATGTATCTCTCAGTTCCTAAATATTGTGCTGTGATTCCCCAGCAAATATTCCAAGCGAAATGCAACTGGACACATGTCCAGTATGAACACATATGAACACACGCATTCTGTTGGATTTCCCAAACACCCTTCTCTTCCCAGTGTTCTTGCATCTCATTCCCTTTTCACCCACTATAGCCTCATGCTCCTGAGGACCTGTATCTTATTCTGAACACATGTATGTGTTAAATATGCCTGTACATGTATAAATAGACACATATATACTCAACACACCAACGAAAGTACATACACAACAGCTGACATTCAATGTCTGGGACACATGTATGCAGGGGTTTCATGGAGTTGCAGTTTGAAATACCGTATTACTTCAGCTTGGTGTCCTACCCACCTCCTAAAGCTCCTGATGTGCTCACAATGAGCACTGCTGAGAGTCAAGCCACACAACTTTACCCATCCATCTACACTTCAAAGCCAGCACTATGCTACCTTGGCAGCAGTGTCCCGTTGACTCCTGTGTTACTCTGAGCCACTCTTATGGTTGGCACTCCATCTGCCATTAACTACTTCATAAAGAAAAGATTCAGCAAATGAGGATCACCCACAACTCTGAAAGTAGAAAATTGGAACTGCATAGAAAAGATAGCTTTGTATATTTTTCCTTGAAGACGGTGTGTAGTCAGCTCAAAATACAAACCTGGCGCATCAGACACAGCACACATCCACTGATGCAGAAGCCTGTCTGAATCAGACATGGATGTCATTCAAATTACTGCAGTTCTGACCTCGTTGTCTCATTCAATTCACCTTTATTGCTTCCAGTGAGTATCCTCATGCCCTGTGTCTGAACAGCAATCTACTCCATTTGCAAAATTTAAGTGTACAGTGGTCACTTATCATTGCTTGTAATACACCATATAAATTTTCTTGTACCCTATCTGTGCATTATTATGTGCTGAATGATGACTTTTATTTAAAAAGGAATTCAGGAAACAAAATATTACAGGCATTAATAAAAGTTTCTGGAGTGACAGTATAATCTCATAACACTTCAGTGAGTTGAACATGAAGTGACCGTTGAACACCTTATTACTGCAGTCAGAAATCAAGTACTGTAACATAACATGTAAGCTAGAGAAATCAGACGGGCAAACAAAGAAAGCACACCGTTCCTTAATGGGTCAATCTGGTTGTTGTGGTTGTAGGAGCATGTTTTCTTAGTCATTCAGTTCGATAACGTGTCTAACAATGATTTACAAGGAAAAAAAACCACCTATTTTATTTAAAAAATAAATTTAGGTGATATCCAGTAATAAGTAGAAACTAAATTTACTTTGAAAAGGATAACCAGAATAGAAACCACCGGTTGATTCGAAGGCTTGGGAACAGCTCACGTCATTCACTAAGCAGTCACGCGGAGCCCACTTCTCCTTCCTGCCGGCTCGGCAGGGCCGACCTGCATCAGTCTGTCCAGCAGGTGGCTGTGTCCCCTTCGGGAGCGTACAAACCCACGGGGAGAGTTCCTTCATCGCTCACATAATCATCAGTGCTGCAGTAGAAAATTAGTGGCTACATTTAAGTCATTATTTGAAGCCCTCAGAGCTTCCAGAGCGTCTCCCCTGGAAAATCCCATCTCCATAAGTCGTGCAACCTGTAAGAGAAGTAACATAAAACTACTGAACCAACAGTTTTACTCAGATGATGTGTGCATTACCTATTTAACAGTGTCAGGGATCACTTGTTTTTCCACTGTTCAGAAGCTTATCTATCTGAAGAGCGTGCAAGCGCACATGGGCACCGCCACAAAGACTTGTCTGTGACAGCATGCTTGAAAACACCGCCAGAGAGAGAGAGTGAGACGAGTGCTCTGTGATCACTTGTTCAGAACCAGTCTTTTGCTGTGTTTTCAACCCCGACCCAGTTTTGAAAGAAGAGTGAAATAGAAAGTAAGCTTTGTTGTCTGGCTGGCATTTTTTCTGTTTTTCACCTTGGCACCTTACATGCCAAGGGCAGCCTGACCCCAGGGCTCACTGCTCTAGAGAAGAACGTGCCCTGCAGAGCCCAACGCTGACCCAAATAGGAAATCTTACAGCAGATGGGAAGACCTGCACGTTTACACTTAGCTGTGCTCTGCTTGAAAAAAACCTGAATTCTCCAAAGGTCATTAAAAAGCCCAAAACGTTTGCTCCAGGTGGTTTTTACAGCCAACCTGAAAGCTAATCCTGAAACAGAGGCACAGAGATACTTAAATCAGTTCAGTAAAATTCATGGAAGGATTCCAAATGTTTTCAGAACAGGGCAAGTCAATGCCATGTGATGGACGAGTTACCTCGAAATGGGCACACTGAGAGAATCATTTTGGTGACCAGTAATCAATTATCATTCTTTGCAACATCATGTTCTTGACACCTAACCTTTTCCCCTGTGCTAATAGATACTCAAAGTATCACAAATTACTACATGTTAAAAAAAGTACATACATCTAATTAAATCTACGGCTAAGTTTTGATTGAAATTACACTTGAAAACTATGGCTCTCTATTAGGTACAAGTGAAAGTCACAATGTAACTAATTCACTTTTATATTTAATCATCCAGAGAGGGGGGCAGCACGCAGAATGAAGCATGGCCAGGGGCAGCAGGAGGCACTCTCCATCCTGCTCATGCCTGCGGGTGGGCTGTGAGGTGGGAGCTGCAGGTCCAGAGTGGCCTGGTAGCCCTGGTGGCCGTCTGGAGGCTGGCATGGAGCCTGTTGCACAGAACCAAGCAAGCAGGAATGCAGCTGAGATCCTCTGCATCCTGTGACACATTAACAATATGTGGTCGTATTTGAAATGCCTCTTGGAAGAAAGAACTCAGGATTTTTAATCTCTGCTGCTTTGGTGGCTTATTGAGAAATATAGTCTTGCTAAGAGTGGCCAGAGGTGGGAGTTCTGGTTCTCTCGATCTAAATTCGCTGTTACAAAATGTTTGAATACTGCTACCTTGGCTGTCAAAATATCAAAAATGCTACCATCCTTTTTTGCATTTCCCCTTCTCGCTCTATCACTTAGTGTCAGTTTCTCACCTTCTTGTAGAGAGAGAAACAAATCGTTACTTTCAACATCACTGCAACATCAATCTGGATCTCATAACCAGTAACTTTCTGAAGTTCCCTTTTCTGACTTTTCACCTAAGATAACGATTTTTATGAGAAAGAGGTCAGGCAATGGAAATAAAAGCTAACCACAGCAATACAATTCAGATGAAAGGTTTTTATGGCAGTGGGCATGAATTGTAACTTTGGCTTTCAAGAAGCGGTGGATGGTGTTTCGATGCTCCCATTTGCAGAAACATCCAGAGGGCATGATGGGAAATACATTTTAACAGCAGAAAGCTCTGTTTATCTGAGTACATTTTAACCACAGAATCCAGCACGAGGAAACTGAGTTGAATGCTGGTAACAGTAATTGAAGGTGCTAAAAAATCCACGAGAAGCACAGATTTTTCTACCAGACGTTGCTAACGCTTACAAATCTGAATCCAAAGAACAGGCACAACCTTGCACTTCTGCCATTCTCAGACGATTTACAGATTTATTAGCACAAATCTGAAAAATCAAAGGTGCTTGGGTAACTCTCTACCTCGCAAGGCAACCAGACAGCATTTCAGATGGCAGCAACTGGGTGATCTTTACAACTTCAGTGCATTACAACATGTAAGCATATACCGAAGTGCTTTCATACAGCTGAGCCTGGGCCAGGTTTGAGGTCAGAAGACAGCACAGGTTGGACGAAAAACTGTTACATGAGTTCCAGCACAACAGTACAGTCCATACATACAGAATTTGTCACTTTACTCCCGGCACTGGATAGGCTTTTAGGCTGGTCAAAATTTCAGACTGGTCTCAGAAGGTGTTCTTTAGTGGGGGATTTTCTATTGTTTTTCTCTCCTCTCTCTCTCTCTCTCTCTCTCTCTTTCTTTCTTTCTTTCTTGTTGATTGGTTTATTTTTTAATTTTAAATTATTTTTTTTTTAACTTTTCTGATGTAGGCCAACAAGTTCTCAATCAAAACCACCAGTTCAGTTAATTTGGGACATAATCTAACATTGAATCAAAACTGGAAATTGGATCATAGCAAAGTTTTCTCTTTGGAACAATCTCATTTTAAACTAACTGGAAATAACAGCATGGCACTAGCAGGTACTGATTTGTCTCCTTGAAGCAGAAAAAGGGGAAAGAGGAACTCACTCTTGGAACCTATTCTCACTGAAGAATAGCAGATACCTTAGAAAATAAAAAGGCCAGTGCAGCTAACTGCAGATGGGCTAAAACTCAGAGAACTTGACTGCACACAATAAATCCTGAATAAAGAAACAAGATTAATATCCAATTCTTAAACTTCCTAGCAAATCCTCTCTTTGGAGAAAACAAATTATCAACAGAAATCTACATCTACACTACAGGTCTAAATCTACACTAGGCAGAAAAGACAAACTTCTCTGTGGCAACAGTATACAAAATCAGTCAACCATATTATGTAGGGAAACACCCCACAAGTGTCTGCTGCAGCCCAAGGCTGGCAGAACGTTTTTATTTCCAAACAGCCACATGACCAAGTTGGGAACTTAAGCTGGAGACCTCAGTGCAGGAAGAGCTGTATGTCTACAGGGAGAATGATGAAATCTATTTGCCATTCTTCCTTTTTTTTTTTTTTTTGAAACATATCAGCCCCACTTGTGAAATTGTCTAACCTTTAAATATAAGGAATGAAAAGTTACGCATAAAAGCAGTAATTCCCAAGTTGACATGCAACTCCAGTTTGAAAGATAATGACGAGTCACCGTCCCTGTATTGTGACTGTTAACTGGGATTTCTATTTATGCTGCTGCAGGGAATGATTAAGAAGTTGTGTCACCAGACAAAACAAACAAACAAACAAACCAAAAAACAGAGGTAATTCCTAAAAACAGCTTTTTTAATGAAATATTAAAAGAAAAAATTACCTGTTCTTCAGAAACCTCAGTAGGTGGAGGTGTGTCTTGCTCAGATGGGTGATGATCTTGGTAATTCTCATTGTGTCTATGACGTAGAGGAGGAAACAGTCTATTCCAGTTAATCATCCCACCCTGAAACCAGACACTGCTGTCAGTCTTTCCAAAAAGAACTACAGGTTCTTTTACACATAAAGACCATCCATCCCACATAATACAGAAGGCAAACACTTGAGCGAAACGCTTATCTCAAACAAGAGCTGCTGAAGCTTTTGGTGAAGTGAAAACTGGGACTTGTTACCTCTTTCCTAGCTACTGGAAGTAGCTGCTGTAAGCTAAGGAAAAGTGCTAATAAAATGAAGAAAGGACTGCCTGATTTCTTGCTAATACTTCTTGTGTCACATATGTTGTGGGTGATATGGCTCACTACAGTGCTAGGTTTCTGAGGCTGAAGAGCCTGCTCTCTTTGTGACTTTGTGCCAGACTTCGTGTCTGGCAAGGGATGCAACAGCATGTCCTGCATGTGCTTGCTTTACGTGGGTAAGAGTGAAATAAAGAAGCAGGGAGAAGAAGCAAAGATGCTTTTCACTGCATCCACAAAAACACATCAGGAAACTCAGAGCACATGCTGCTGATCACAAGCTCAACTTGCAGGATACCCGTGATAGACTTTCCACACCAGTGATTATTTCTGTGACACCAATATGACTGTGACAGACTTACCTAACTTCATTGCATTACTACCACTGCAGAAACTGGCTGTACTCCAGTGCCGAATCATTTTCTGACTACATGGTAATAACATAAATACACAGCAGTAACGTAAGTATGGCATAAATCACTGAACAGAAACTTTAACAGCTCAGCTTGAAGCCTTAAAACAGTAAGACACACAGAATGCAAAGTGCAAGCTTTATCATTGCCCGGGAATGATCCATCTTTCTTCCATGAGCTTGCACAAACATTCTGGAAGAGATGTGGTATGACACCAGAACCTGCAAATGGGCAAGAGCAGCACCACTCGCTCCCTCTGTTCTTCGCAATGCAGCTGGTGTCCTTCTCCTCCTGACCCACTCCCTCTGTTACCATGGAAGAGATCCCCCTCCCTTTCAGTATATATAGGACAAGGACTTCCTTCCTCTAGTTGCTCTGTTTTAGGTCTGTGCTGTCGTTTCTCAGAAAATCTTCCTCTTATGAGTTTTTTCTTCTCTCAGCTGGGGCTCTTCCTGCCTTTATGTACTCCTGCAGCATTAAAAGCTCTCTGCTTGATCAGATCAGCAGCAGCAGCTTAACCTACTCCCAGACACACACACACACACACACACACACACACACAAAATCATTTATTTCATTTTCCTGCCCTTTCCTTTGTTCTCTTCCATTGTCTCCCTTGGAGACCCAGTCAGCCCAGACACCACAGGAGGCAGTGCAAGAGCACACTTGAAAAAGCAGCTGGGGAGTCATGAGATGCGACCTGTTAGCTTCTAAAGTGTTCCATTCCCTTATGGCACAGTGCATCTTCCCTAAGAAGATCAGCACCAGCTATGAGTCACCACTCATCTTCAGTACAAAGTTTCCACTACTGGCAATTCGGAGTTTAAGACACTGTTACATATCCATATTTCTACTTTATAAGCTGCACTAAGCATCTACTTAAGGGTTTTATCTTGAAGGATTTCACATAAGCCTTGTGTTAGCCAAACAGTATAGTGCAGCAAAAAGGAGAATTGGTTTCTAGTTTAAACCTGGAGAGGGATCTCACACCTTCTACTGACAAGCTGAACTCCTCTGTGGTCTTGGAAAATCACGTCATGTACTTCCCCATCTCTAGTTTCCCCTAGCTCAGAATTATTTTGAGTTTTAATTCATTAATTTTGAATTTCTGGAAGCCTACTGAACTCTATAGTTCAGCAAGAACATGGAACTGATGCTGCTTTGCCTGTGTGTGTTCTTTTCAAAGACTTGAGGCAGAGAAAGCAATGCTTCCAAGGGTAATTCATATAAAACTAGTGGATCGAAAAATGCCAGCAGGATCAAGGCATGTTTTTTGTAGCATCAGAATTCATAGAGAATAATGCATATTAAATATAAAATCTACAATAAATGCATTAATTTATCAGTATGCTGATGTATCTGAAGACTGAAATAAATGTACCTTTCCAGCTGTGCTCTCAGCTTCACCACCAAGCTACCTACTGCACCCCGTCCTGCGTGCTGACACATAACACTGCAAAGACATCTGCCTTTTTATCTTAAACTTAACAATACATGTTAAATTAATGTGCACCAAATGCATTACCTGCAGTAAGAAATCCAGATTCCCTAACAAAATATCTACATCGTTTAGAAGGTTTACTATGGATAACCGGATGAATGCATATTATGGATTATTATGGATAACTGGATATGGATGGATGAATTCAGAACAGTTCCAGGCAAAGCTTGCTAACTCTATCCCAGAAATAACAAACAGACAAGGCAAACTGGATCAAAATTCCTATGAAAGGATCCTTTTCAGTTGTCCTCAGAATATTTCAATTACTTTTGGAAGTTGTGACAAACGTCAGGTCTTGACAGTATTAATGATGAAAGAATATCTAAAGCACAACTAATGAAGCCCAAAGGTCTTAATGCTATGTGAGCGCTGACGTTTAGGATTAATTACAACTTACTTTGGATGGTCTATTTCTCAACTGTGTATTATTTCCTAGACTGCACCTAAACCATGTAGTTATGCTTCTTGATCTGTAAATGCAAGGAAGTTGCTTCTTCTCTTGGGCTTGCCTCTAATCACATGATGGACACGTACAAAGTCAGACTGAAAAGAGCAGAGATTGAGAGTTGCAACAGGAACTGCTACTGTGGACCATTCCCTAAATATAAGAATACAGCAGGAACTGCTGCTAATGTCTCAGATACATAGAAAGCGGGGATCAAGGCTAAGGATTTCCAGTGTGCACGGTGAGTTCTGGACAATGTTACTATCACAGCAGAAATTGACCTAAGATCTGATTTTTAATTTGATTCGAAGCGAACAGAAAAAAATGTCTTAAATTAACCAAACCTCTCAAATTCCAGTTAAAAATGTGCACAGATTTCCAGATCAATATTCTGCCTCGTCTCCCAGACGTTATTCTGTAGACCTTCTGTTCACAATTTTATGATACATTCTGTATTAGAGGGGTTTTTGACCATGCTAAGACACTTATTCTGAGAGAGGTCAGGAAGATTTCACATGAAGATATCCAAACTGTGAGTCTACTTAAGCAATGCTTCTAAACCATCCAAAAGTCTCTACTGGAGAATGGTAAATAAGTATGCCTTTTGCAGGAGACTTGAAAAAAGCTAAAGCCAAATTACCAGTGATGGTAACCACAGTCAGCCAACAGTCCAGATCACCAAGCAAACCCACAATGATGAGGCAGGTCTAAGATTAAGACCAGAAGTCAAATCAGTGGCTTAGGACCTGGACTTTGTACTAAAAAACAGCGAACTCCCAGTTGAGGTGGGTGAGGCCCCAAAACTTCTCACAGATGTTTCTAACCACAGCTCTTTCTCACAAGTCTGCTCCAAGGCTGAAGAGCTGTACTGTGTCAGAGGAGGCCCTCAGTACAGGCAACACAACCCTCTGGAAAGCAGGTTGGTGTGCTCAGGATCGCAACTGGTAAACCAACTGCTTTCCCCAGTCAGTGCTCTGGGCAGAGAGAAACCACTCATCATGTTATCCACACAAAGGTAAGACTTACTGTTCATGCCTTCTTTCTTAGTCCAAATCTTTCATGACCAACTTGGTGAAGATTTTCTGCTCCTCTGCTAGAGGAAGGCAATCACTGAGAAAATCAGTCTGTAAACTACCATTCATACAAATATTTTGTACAGTTGGTGACTGGGCCCTGATTTCTGCCTGCAACAGTCTTCCACATGTCATCACAGAAAACTCATGTCAAAAAGACTGCTTCATTCAGTAGCCAAAGAGCAGGATGGACACATTTAAGGAAAGGTCTATAAGCCTTCCCCATTCTATTCCTCCTACAGTTGTAATTTTTTAACTAAGGAAAACAGCAGTTTCCTTTGATGCTAGCGGTGCAAAGACTGGGTGAATTGGTTGATGGCAAGTTCTTTGTTACTATCTGACAGGAGACAAACAAATCAACCAGACCATCTATAGATCTCTGTTACATCACTAACAAAAGTGGATTAGGAAAACATTGATGATGTTGGAACTCCTGTTACAGGAAAACAACAAATCAGTCACAAGCTTCAGGCGACCAAACAATGAGATGGAGGAATGGGTTAAAGGAATGGGAAAATGGCATCTATCCATGATAGGAAATATTATAAGGAAATACTGTATTGTTGAATTATTCTTGGTAACTGTCAGTACTTCAGTTGTTAGGTCACATACTAGATTTTATTTTTTTTCCTAAATGTTGTCTGGGATAATACTGTTTAAAGGAAAAGAGTATCCTCTTTTCCCACAGAACAAGACATTCGTATCAGTCTAGAGCTAGCAAATGTCTGATTGCATAACTTGCTGAAATCCCAACTGCACAACCATTTTTTCACATCATCTCCTCACTCTCTTTCAGAGATGACAGCTCTCCCTGCTTCGCGTTTACATACTTGCCATAGCATATTCTGTAAAACAATTCTCACACAAAGTCTGACAAACAAACATGTATTACACACCACTAATAAATATTCACTGAAGTAGCTACCACATGTGCTGGTATTACAATTAGATTAATTTCACTAGAATTGAAAATGCCTTATAGAAGTCCTCTTGATAATTTTTCATGTGGTTAAGATTTTTTGATAATGTTATCTCATGTATATGGTTAATGCCAACTTGCCATCTGTTTGCACAAACAGGAAACACCTCCTGATATCTGTCCTGTTCACCTTTTCTCAACACAACAACCACAGTAAAAAAAACAAAAAAAAAAGGAAATTGCTTTGCATTTCATCTTTTAAAGTAACAACTTTAGAGCTTGCTTCCCTGCATAGTAGTCATTACTTGGTGCAGGTATAGATGCTGTCTTACTTCACTGATATAAAAATTCATTCTAAGAAACAAAAAACACTTGCCTTTCAGACACAATCTTTTTGTTAAAAATACTGACCCCAAAGTGTAT